ATGTGGGCCGGGCACGTTATTCGATATAGTGATGACCGTTGGACCAGGGCGGTTACTGACTGGATCTCTCGAGACGTCAAACGAACTCCAGGACGGCCGCCAACGAGATGGTCAGATTTCATCACGAAAGCCCTGAACGAAAGGAATGTTGAACCTCGTGTCCCTGTAGCGAGGACAATTCACTGGACCACTCGGGCTCGTGACAGGGACGAATGAAGACGTTACTGGCGCCCACTCGAGGAAATCGACGAACAACGGGATGACAGGTGATACAGGTGATACTCCTTTGTATACTGTAACCGCCTAACGACGCTGTTGGAGAAAAACTGTCAAGACGGGGTGTAATAAGGACCCCAAAAACGGCTCAGCCAAAGGGCTTTCAAGTAGGACGAATTCTTAAGTGTTGTAAATGCTGTAGAGGTTGCACCATTCGCACCGGGACCCACACTTGCATGCAGACAGCGTATTGCAGACATCTGTATGCAATGGCGCATACATTTGAACAGCTCTTCCAAGTCCCCTTTCGTGCAACTTTGACTTCACATTGTCGTCCAACCCCCTACTTTCCTTCTTTGTCAGAGCCTTTTCTTCTAAAAACATCGAGTTCCTTCTTTCCTTTCTGTTTTTCTTTTCTCTGCCCCTTTGCACTAGTCTGGACTATCGCTTGAATTACTCGTTCAAACTAGGTACCCCAAGACCATCGTGAACTGTGACTTCAACAGTGGCCTGAATCTCAAGGAATCGAAGAAAAAAACTCACTCTTCATTGACTTGAATCTTTTGTGTGATGTTCTTGTTGTTCCCAGTGAAAATCAGCTCGTAGTAGTCGAAACGTCCCTGTTCAATATCCGAATCGCCAAAGTTGATGTTGATTGACGTCGATGAAATTTTTCCCGGTGATATCATCGACGATATTATAGGAGCTTGAACAGGACCCCATCACATTTCAAGCAGAAAATGGCAAAATAATGGTTATGACTTTATTGCAATTGTTTACTTACGGGTAATGCGTTCGAGTTGAACAACTTTAGAACTGAGGCCGAGTTCAAGCGATTCATTCCGAACACTGATACGGTAAAGCTGAGTTGGTTCGAGATTGTTCAACACAAACGGTTTCTGTTCGGATTCCGTAATTTCGAATTCCGTCTCGGTACCCTTGAAAACCGATGTGAATCAAAATGACAGATTAAAAATATGTATGCGAATAATTCCCTTACTCCATTGATACTGTAAGAAATAATGATGTGATAGAGATCAGGATTATGAAAAGCCGGCCAATCCCAATCAATCGATATCCGCGAGACGTAGAACTCGTCCGTCTCGGACGAAATGATACGAACATCTTGGACAGGTTGAGGATCTAAAAACAGGCTAAAATTTAATTGAACGTTTTATAAGATCGATGTAAAATTATTACGATCAATTATTGGGGGCAGAAAAATCTCAGAGAGAGACCCTTACTTGTTAGTTGAACGATTCGATGTGCCCACCAGGTCTTGGATACTGAACCAGCCAGCATGCAGAATACTCGGAGGTCCAATGTGTGATTCGCGAAAAACTAAAATGAGCTGTGAATTTTTCATAGGAAAACTGTTCTGTTTTCTGATTCGCTTATTTATGCACCCATAAAGACACATTCGAACAGCTCGTCCGAATATTCCTTCCATGCCTGCCGAATTTTTCTCGTCGTACCTCTGATTTTACTACTAATTCTACTTCTTTTTTGAAGCCTCATATATGTCCAGAAATGCCGATTCTCGTGTTTTCTTCGACACTTTCTCTCTATCCTGAACTATCACTTCCATCATCGTTAGACATTCAAAAATTATCGTGAACCTTTCTTATCACTCATTGCCTCCAAGAAATCACAGCTATTCATAAAATTGACTGAGCTGAAGCTCTTACCTTAATTAGAAGAAAGTCGTCCATTGTTGCAACAGAGTAGGATTTAGGACGGGTTAGTGTAACAACGGTGTAATTCACCAAAAATGCATCACATAGTGAACCATCTGGTATGGTCCAGTTCAATCTAGAAATTTGGATAAGCTCATTTTCAGCAGGCTATGTTTCATAGAAATTCATAAGCGGTTTGAGGCCTCACATCAGGGTTCTACAAAGAACACAACTTCTAGCAAAAAGATCAGTCTTCACCGATCAACCTTCTACCCCTTCGAAATTAATATTTGCAGATAAACTAACAGTACAGTAAAGATATAAATCCGAACTGCTGCTCACCGTATCATATTTGCCTCATCGCTCATGCTAATCCAAGACGGTTCACCGAACTCAGCAGCCATCTGCTTTGCCGAGAGAAGCTGGAGAGCCTGAGAATACTAACAATAAGTACCGGTGCAGAGTCCCATTTTAAGTTGACTCACCAACACATATAATTTCACAGTTCCACAGTTTGTCCTGATTTCGAGACAACCCAATTGAGAGTAACCTAACGTGATAAAAGGTGATATGTTTGAGCAAAGTGGGACGGGCACGTCATGCGATGGCTGTTGGATCAGGGCAGTTACTGACTGAATCCCTCGTGACGAACACCACGACGACCACCCGACCACCAGCATAATGAGCAGACTTCTTCACGAAAGCTCAGAACGAAAGGAATGCTTCGCCTCGTGTCCCTCCAGCGAGGACGATTCACTGGACTACTCTGACTCGCAACAAGGACGATTGGAGACGTTGCTGGCGCTCGCTCAAGGAAACCGATGGTCAACGAGACGACAGGTGGTACTGATAATACAGATTTAAAGTAAAATTAGCCCTGGAAACGGCTAAACAAGCTTTGCAAGAACACTGACGCCTACCCATAAGTGGGAGCACGCAACCGCAACCACGTAAACTGCTGCTGGGTGGTCGATGAAATCAGACTCAGTTTAAAAAAGCTTACCAACTCATTCAAGTTGGTTGGACAGCAGGATATTGACCCCGAAAGAGTTAAAACACTGTCCAGTGTAGCTTTCAGTTTTCCCTACTCTTTACAGGGTAGTGTGAATGTATGTATAAGCTATTCAAACGGAAGCAGGTCAGGTGGTATAGGCACGCGTGGAAAAGATAACCAACACTCAATAACTCCGCCCTGTTTTATCAAAGGCCAAACTGAGCCATATTAGAAAAGCGTGTGAATTCACTGAGCAACTCCCCATCAACATCGGGTACGGATATCTTTTCGCACTGCTGTGGCATTATAGCCGTGGAAACTCACAAATATCAAATAAAGAACAACAAATTGCTAGAATATCATTGAAGCCGGCTAGAATATCAAGGACCGAGCCAACCGGTTGTGGTGAAATTCACCTCCCTCAGAAAGATTGCAAGTCTAAGAACAGATCTTGGTAGAAGAAAATACCCGCCTCACTCTGGTCCTCACTCGTGTCTACTTCTTCGTCGCCTCGTACTCCAGTAGTTGTTTGCTTCGGCAATGCCTGGAGTACACTATATTTTCGTCATTAATTCATCATTTTTATAGGAGAACATCTGAGTATTTCAGAATTTTATTCGTGACACGTCTGGTCAAAAAATCCCACCTCAGTTACAACGACTGTTGAAGTAGGAGCCGTAGTGGTGGTATCAGTGGCTGGCACATTAGTGGTTGTCAAGATTGTAGTAGAAACACTACAATGACGAAGCTTATACTATTCAAAGGAGAAATCAGCAAAAACATTGATTATAGAGAAAGAATTGAGATTAGACGCGAAACTCTTCTTTCCCTTACTTATACTCGACTAGAAAATTCCGGCTTTATAGTAGACTTTTATCCTTCTACATGGGTCCTTCACCAATCAGTTACACCCAAGGAATAGAAACCTGAATTGTCCTTCGACCTCGCCAATTCATCAGTAGGGTAAGTATGCGCTTCGTGGGAACCACGACTCCAAGTGGAATTCGAATGCATGAAGGCATTTCAAAAAGATGTCAAAACACTCGTGTTAAAATACCCAGAGTTGTTTCTTGTTTGAGATAGGCCATGCATATACAGGGTAATCAGTGGCATACGGAAATGCTTGCTTTACATCTCCTTGAAGACATCTTCCGCGGAAACATGAGCCAACAGCATACCTGTGCTATTAGCTGCTTCCAAGCAGAGGCGGTGTAGTGAAGTGGTGCATTATCACACACGTATGCTTACGAGTTCGAATCCCGGATCGATATCCGCCTAGGCCAACCAAATCTTCAATCAACCAAGGTAGGGTAGATGGTACCGAGTTCGTCTGGGAGGATAAAAGCACTGTCTTACACACCGGCTCGCCACCGCTTCAATACGCCACTACGATTTAGAATAGAAGTCGAATGCGGGGACGCATCTAGACGGGATTGATCAACGCCTAAAGGCTTTACCCTTTATTAGCAGCTTCTACTGAGTGAATGGTTTGCCGAAACCTGCTGCTTCAGTTCTGAGCGTGATTGCAGAAGTAATGATCGTAGGTAGGAGATCTCATATAGGAGACGTAGGAACAAAAGAGAATAGCAGCCACTCTATCATCAGGTCAGAAATGGGCTGCAAAATCCACGAGAGGTTCGTTCTTGACCATTTAAGGTGGACGAATCTTAAACATGAAGGTGGCTAATTTCCTAAAGCTTCTGAAAAGAACAAGGTAGCAAGCCATCACTGATCCGTCCTCACGTCGACGCTCTTTTTAATCATATTTGTTTCATTTCGATTCATTTCTAATTTTCAAACAAATCGAGGCAAGTCAAAGAGAAGAAGCAAGGGGAACATCTAATAGCAAGGATTATTACTAGGAGCAACAGAAGACAATACAAATGGCAGGCAAAATCTGCTGGTATCGAGATAATAGTCAGACTATAATTCTACAATAGTAGATATCTTTTGACTGGCTCATACAACGAATACCCTAAAAGGGAATAAGAAAGGTACCCAAAACGAAGGGGCAGCGCTTATTGACGGTAAACCACGAATGTGAAGCGAGCCGTGCCTCAAAGAGGCGTGGAAAGGGTCGTATACCGTGAAGGAGAATCATCAAAGAACCGTATGATCCATCAAGGGTCAACTTTTTGCGACATTTTGATTGAGCCTAATGAGAAACCTTAGAGCTGATATAAAGCGGTGTCAAGTGCTAACGAGTTATACTACTCTCTTACATTGCTTAGTGATTTTTTTGAGCAACAGTCATAGAATTTGGCTAGTCACGCTGATTTTCTAACAGCTCGGCTTCTTGTCTTCGAGGGCCTCGCCCTCACCGGTCAATTCGGAGGGTGATGAGGATTAATCGGTTTTCCTGAAAAAAACGCACAACGGATCACCTTTGTCCCTGACCGTCCCTGTCTTTTTCTCCCAAAAGGTGGTTGTTCCAATTATTGAATCAGAACAGCGATAGTTTGTTAACTGAACTCACCTGCTCGACTTCTCCGTAGAACTGATAGACGAATCCAATGAAGAAGTGGACTGCTGCGGTGTATTTGTGGTAAATATGCCTGTAGTTGTAGTAGACGTAACTGCTTCTGACGATGATGGAACTGATGTAACAGTTGTTAGCTCGGAAGTAGATGCTGAAGGAACCAAGAGCTAGAGAGGAAATCCCGTGATGTGTTTGAGGGTTTCCAAGCTCTATACCTATACACCTAGCCTCATTAACTCATCTCTACGCTGATCTTCATGAAAAGCTCAAGAAACTGGGAGAGAGTGGTTAAGACTAGTGCAAACAAACAAAGATTATAAACGTACTAGTCAACGAATCCTCATCATCGAGGTCCTCAGCCGAGTACAGGTAATCGTCACTTTTACCTATTGCATTTGCTGCTGTTGTTGTGGCAAGATCAAATCCCGGTGGCAAAGTGCGAATACTGAAGGTTTCGGCCGAATTCTCGTAGTCATACTCAGCTAAAACTAGTAGAAGCTGTGAGTTTGCCAGGCTATCTTCTAGATTAGTGAAAATAAAAATTTAGAAAGGTAACTGCACAGGAAGAATGCATCGATGAGTTTAACAATGACGCGATTTTGTACCTCAGAACTTCACTTTCATGCTCATTTTTCAGCGCCTCAATATTGTTTTAGACTACTGGTAATGCTTGATAACAATACTACACCATGAATTTTAGCTACCTCTCCAAAATCGTTTCTTTGTTTATAGGATTTCCATCCCGGTTAACGTTTACTGTATTCTGCGCTTCCAGAAGGAAGAACAGGTAAACCCTCCAGTCTACCGTTAATAGGATGAGCCAGTGACTTCCTCAGATGAGTGAGGACACGGAGTCTCAGTTGTTGGAGCTTGGTTTTTGAGGTTTTACGCAGAATTCAACAGTTCAAAAAAGACTCCACAAACCACGCGTAATCTGCTAGAGATTCTTTATCCCGATGCTCTACATCTTCGAAGACTTTCTGAAGTGAATAGCCTCTTGAAATTGGCGATTACTGGGCAACACTTCGGCCTCGGACGGTTCCAAGTCGGCCACAGTAAAAACTAGGGTGGATAGTATAATTTCAGGCTTACGCAGGAGAAAAAAACGAGCTATATGAAACAGAAGAGGTGATATATAGAATAGATATTCGATTTGTGAAGAACTACTCTAAAACAAACGGCAGTACCTACGCCCAGGTCACTACCTAACGCAACTCATTACTTTTCAGTATGCGCTCATCCATTTATTCAGGCGAACAGTGAGGGATGATATTTCTTATCAACTTTCTCAACAACCCTCATTCTCGCTCTGTGCAATGAGCATCGTGGTGACGCTCGGGTTCAGTATTTGTCCAGCAGAGAAACAGGGTACGGGAGTGGGTGCGAAATCGCTATTGTTTCGATCGGCGCACCGCCGATGAACGCCGGCGATCAGCCGCATTAGGCGACGCTGTTGGGTGGTGTTTCCAGTCCTAGAAAAAGGCTCGTCTTCCCTTCGAATAGTCTTGTTGACCTTAACACAGGGTTAATCAAATCATTGGTCATTACGGATCCAGCGAAGATGGAAACTTTGGTGCAGGTCTAAAATCTTACACTAATTCCACTTTCCATATTACAAGGGACCGCAAGTGTTGTTAAATGACTTGAGCTAGTTGTGTAGCGGTAGGGGCAAGAGTACTTGCGTAAAGATTCGAAAAAGAAACAGAAGAACTGGATCTTTGCACTTGAGCCATTTCACAACGACCCATAGATTAGGCAACTGGGAGTAAAAGAAGTCGTCGAAATCGCGAAAAAAGTGAATTGTAGGAGTTTCAGTCATTCAGAAGAAGCGCTCTTAGACTTCACTTCTGTATAATTTCCAGGAAAGCTCTCTAACCCTACTCTAGATTGTTTCCAAATCTCATTTTATTATTGTCTCGAATTGTTTCGCAGCAAATGAGTAAGAGACAAACAACTGTAGGAAAAGAGGGCTTTTGGCTGAGAGACAGCCCAAATGGCGAAGTGATGACTACGTTAAAAGCACTCGGAGTGAGGGGGATCACCTGATGACTCACGGTTAAACAAGAGTATATCTTCTATTACTTCCCTCGCTACCTCTCCACACCCAAAACTTTTTTTTTTTTGAAGGCGCTGCTCCGATGAAAATGGTTTTCGAGATATGCCTTCAGTGTGGATCTGTGGCTCTAAAATATATAGTATATGGTGCTGCTATATCGAATAACGGTTTACATAGGGCGTAGTCGAGCTCAAAAACTCATATTCACTGTAAGCTACACTCAGGGATGGCCGTGTTTCGAAGAACATTGAAGACTTCACCACATTCACAATGGAGCACACATGTTGAAAATCCACCCAACTAGTCTTGACCCATAGCTACAGCGAAAGACAATCCTAGGCATTTTTTTGATTTACTTCGGTCAGCTCTACGCAAAAGTAGTTAACAGACAGCCCGTCTATGTACTCCTTGCACCCCTCCCATACAAGATCCTTCGTCATGCTTTCGTACAGCCCCTTCCATTCTAGTTTTCTGAAGCAATTTTCTTTCCATCCGCTGATTTGCACGCTTTTTTCAGTTTCTTTGCACTATTCTACACCATAACTTCCACTTTAACAATTTACACGAGCCACCTCAAAATCGTCGTTCATTGAATCTTTAAAAGATCTCAGAGCGGCCTCAAAATACCGGCCTTTGCCACACAATCATCGATGCCAAGCAGGGTGGGAGGTAAGCATCTGTTTCAAAAAAAACGACAACATTCTAGCAGGAAGGTGGAGGAATATCCGATTCAGTACTCGACTATATAGTAGAAAACAAAAACTCACCAGCTCCACTAGTTCGAAAGACAGACTCTATCATATCTGGTGAAAGGACGCCATTGTAGACGGACCTGATCTGAAAAAAAAAACAGTAGAAAGAAAAAAATAGGCCTACAGATAGAGAAGGTGCACTTAACTTAACGATGCTCAAACTTTTCTGGAAGCATTTTTGCTAATTGAATATTATTATACAACTGAGGTGATCTGAAGGGGTTGGCCACTCCAACTGCTCCAATTTCGATCATGATTTTTCTTCTAGTACTAGAATTGCTTTGAAAACTACCTACCTTTATCCGAAAAGCCGTACCAGAATCTAGACCTCGCAATCGAACGAGTGTAGCCTTGGTTTCGATTACATTTGCATATTCCCGATTGTCTTCAGGGTAGTATTCTGTAAGCAAGAAAAGAACGTTACTAAAATATCGATCTAAAGGAGAAAAGTCGTCAACAATTAGTGTTCGCAGTGGATATTCTATGTGGTCGAAAAAGAAATTGTATTATAGCAGTCAACCGATCATGGTTCTTTGAATTACCGAAATTACCGAAAGCCAATCAGACCCTCCCCATTAGGATTAGGGGTACTGTTTGCTACAAACAAAAATACTATTCGTTGAAAACCTTCCCCTCACCATGGAAAATTCTGGACGATCCAGAACAAGAGAAATATTCCCGTTCATTAAACATAAAGAAAATGTAAGGCCAAATAGATTGGTGAGAACTGGAAACTGTCCACGCAACTATATTTACTCCAAACTATCAGCAATGCCTGAGACTACTTTGAGAGATGAACACTAATGATTACTTCCTAGTGTTGTCTAAAGCACTACCGGTTTGAGGTGGAGAAAGAAGTTTCTGGACTTACCAATATGGAAAGTGATGTTCGCTTCCTTGGGTGGAAAGTACGACACTGTCGCATCATGTTCACCAGTTTCAATTGAATCGAGGATTGGTGGAAGAGGACCTGAAAGTATCCGCTACCAGATTTGTTTATCTTTGTTATCGAGTAGTAGATTTCCAGGATAATTTATTATTCGACAACTGGTAATGTATCATTGTGCTAAAGACCATCGAAGGACATTACCGAGCTCGTGAGGCTGAAGCTTGTGTATTTCGAGGGGCGCCAACTGAAGTGGGTGCACGCTTCGATCACTTTAGGCAGAATTTTTGTGGGATCTCAGCTCCGGAGTATGTCTGGATGCTCGAGCTTGTTCCGCTTTTGTTCCTTCTCACTCAATGACCATGCGCTCATTTCGTTCTTTCCCTATTATCAAAACCGGATCCTTCATGAAAAATCGTCGTCGTTATTTGAACAATGCCGTATGACACGATGTCGTTTTCGCACCAGCCTAATATCTAAAATAAACATAAACCCGAAGTTGAGCTGCTACCAAAATAAAGATGGAATAAGGTGGCTTTGCAACCCGGGCAGCTGCACATTCGAACAGGACTCCTGATCGGCTTTATGTGAGCCTACAAGGAACTTTGGATTTTACCTTACATTCAAAACAGCCGCACTCGAAAAAAGAACCAGCATATCGAACGAAAATCACCACAATGAGTTATATAGAACTCCGTAAGCATCCAGATTTGCGTCACACCCAACGAATGATGTATTCGTTTATTTTTAGAAGGGACCCAGTCGCAATTACAAGATGCGTAGAGAAGCTATTACCCCTTTCGATTTAGGGTCTGCCAGGAAAACTCAGCACAATTCGTCATTCATGCCCAGTTTCCAGTAAGGGATGAAATGGAGCTTATTTTTTTTGGATTTCGTAAATGAATCAGAACATTTATTCTCGGACTCATCGCTCTTCAGAAAATTTTCTCGAAGGAGGAGGACAAGTAAGCGACGACCTACTTGAATAGAACTTCCCATACTTGCCCGCCCACTTCCTAGAAAGTCACCTTCTCTAAATGAATAATCTAGAGAAG